AACTTTTCCCAGGTCAAGGCTGGCGATCCTGCTGGTCTAGCTAGGCAATAATCTCTCCACCAAGTCTTGGCAGATCCAGACAAGCGAAATGTGGCAAAATCAACCCTATTGGTCTATCCCCATGTTCTGAAGAACCTCGTGACAACTGTCTAGATAATCCTGGGGATCCTCAGTAGATGCACCGCTGAAAGTAGTAGTGAAGAGCTTGGTGAACCTGTCCAATCTCCACAAAGCATCGGCAGACATAGCTGCACCATCGCCGGTCTGAGCTACCACACCCAGCTGAACTGCTCAAACTGGCTAAGCTACTGGAGTCTGAAACTGGGGAGCTACCTACTCCGGAGTGCGAGTAGCAGGAGTCTGGGCTCCTCCTCCAGCCTGAGAGACGGCTGGTGCTACAGGAAGTAAACCTGCCCTGGTGACACTCTCCATGAGGCCCACTAGACGGACCAAAGCATCCTGAAGAACTGGGGTGGCAATAAACCCCTCTAGGACCTGAGCTGGGCCTACCGGAACTGTTGGAGCCGGAACCTCGACATCAAAGTCAACCTGAGGCTCCGCTGCTGGTGCTGCTGCTCGGGGCTGAGCTCTGCCCCTAGCACGGCCTCAGCCTCGCCCTCTGCCCCTCGTGGGAGCTGCTGTTGGGGGCTCGGGCTGCTTATCGGTAGATGAGGAAGCGCGTGTTCTTGCCATCTGCGAAAGAACGGAGTAGAAATTCGATTAGTATTGAGAAACCAAACCGCACGACAAGAAAGAACAAATGTGAAGTTTTTTTCCTAACTCGGTAGCCTCTAGGGATAAATACAGACGTCTCCGTACCGATCCCTCAGACTCTACTAAGCTTGTCTGTGAATTGTGAGACCTATGTAACCTAGAGCTCTCTGATACCAACTTGTCACGACCCAGATTTCCCACCCTCGGGAGTCGTGATGGCGCCTGCTCGTTGAAGCTAGGCAAGCCATGAAATTTAGAAATCTTTAACCTTTTCATTGTAAACACTTTTAACTACTTGTAACAACAAGCAGTAAAATAATAGCGGAAGACAAAAATTAAGCGGAAGACTTAAATAAACATAATACCCAAGCATGATACGAAAAGCCAACATATGTCTCTACCCAGAAACCGGTCTCACAACATTCACGGACTGTCTATGATTACTACATACAAATGTCTGAAAGAAAGGAACTCAGTCTGTCTCGGATACAAATGATAACAGAACGAAATAATAGATAGAAGAGACGCCGGGCCTGCGAATGCCTGCAGGACTACCTCGGGATCTCTGGACAGAAGGCTGGCTCCCAAGATACTGCTGCGCTCCCAGTACTGCTCCGGTATCTGCACAGAGTGCAGAGTGTAGCATCAGCACAACTGACCCCATGTGCTGGTAAGTGCCTGGCCTAACCTCGGCGAGGTAGTGACGAGGCTAGGACCAAACTCCAGATAAACCTGTGCAGTTATTTATATATATACAAAGGGAAAATAAACTAGAACAAACAATTAAAGCTGGGAAGGGGAAACATGCTTCGGGAATAACAGATAAAACAGAACCTCAAGAGAATTATCAAGAAACCAAAATTTAACTTCTAACAAAAATAAAGAAAACAAATTGCAGATTTCACTCTTGGTTCAAATGGGCGTACCACCCGATCCCATTTCTCATATCTTGTGGTAGGCGTACCACCCGCTCCCATTTCATCAAATCTCGTGGTAGGCGTACCACCCGATCCCATTTCATCAAATCTCGCGGTAGGCGTACCACCCGATCCCATTTCATCAAATCTCTCGTGGTAGGCGTACCACCTGATCCCTTTTCATTATCTCTTGTGGTAGGCGTACCACCTGATCCCATTACATTATCTCTTGTGGTAGGCGTACCACCCGATCCCATTACATTATCTCTTGTGGTAGGCGTATCACCTGATCCCATTCACAAGCCAACACAAAATCACAAGGAGTCCCGGCATGGGAAACAAAGCAATATAATAACTTCCCGGCAAGGGAACAACAATATCAAGTCAAACATCCCGGCAAGGGAGAATCAGCTATAACCAATCTTAGTTCAATTTCTACTCATCTCAGCTAACACCAAATACTCAGCCATAAGTACTTTCCATGAAACAAACTCAATTCTTACTCAAGATCGAGAACCATCAATTTAAAGCATCCTTAGTATCATTTAAGAATATAACAATTTGCAATTTAAGACTCACGGTCATGCTCGACACCAATGTATAGATACTCGTCACCATGCCTATACGTCGTACTTAACAAGAAACAAATAGCAAATAGGACTCAACTCCTAATCCCTCAAGTTAAGGTTAGACCGGACACTTACCTCAAACCTCCACGGCCAACTCAAGCCTCAAACACCGCCTTTCCTTTCGAATTCGGCTCCAAATCGATCGTATCTATACATAATCGACTTCATAACATCAATACACCAGATCAGCTATTTCTGCAATTTTTCTCAAGTCCAAAACTTCCCGAAATACATCCGAAACACACCCGAGCCCTCGGGGCTCCTAACCAAACATACGTACTAACTCAATGACATCATACGAACTTACCCGCGATCAAATCGCCAAAATAACCTCAATAGAAATGAATTAATCCTCAAAATCAAAGAATTTTTATCAAACTTCATCAAGTATCAACTTTAGCAATTTAGGTCCGAATCACGTCAAATGATATCCGTTTTTGACCAAATTTCGCAGAAACATCTTAAATCATATATAAGACCTGTACCGGGCGCCGGAACCAAAATACGGACCCGATACTAACATGTTCTAATCAAATTTCATTCAAATTTCCTTAAATAATTTCAGAAAACAATTTCCTTTAAAAATTCATTTCTCGGGCTTGGGACCTCGGAATTCGATTCCGGGCATACGCCCTAGTCTCGTATTTTCCTACGGAACTTCGGGGACCATCGAATCACGGGTCCTGGTCCGTTAACCCAAAACGTTGACCGAAGTCAAATTTAATTCATTTATTAGCCAAATTTTATCATTTTTCATAGATTTTCATATTTAAGCTTTCCGACTATACGCTCGGACTGCGCACGCAAATCGAGGTGAAGATAAAAGAGGTTTTCAAGGCCTCGAAAACACAGAATTTAATTTAAAAGCAAGTGATGACCTTTTGGGTCATCACAACGAACTTCGTCGTTAATCTTTCCAATTGTAAGAACAATCAAACTAATTTAGGATATCACTGCTTGTGAAATTGAGCCATGCAATCTGAGTGATTAGGCATTTCTTAGAGAGAAAGAAATCGAGTGGAGGAAGAAGAAGGAACTGTATTATTGTTGTTGCAAATGAGGCTGATACACAGCTTATATACAGACCTCTCTCAGCTCACACACGTGCACATCACATGACTATTAACTAACTTTAAAACTGATTTGTAACTACTAACTATCCAGCTAATCATAGTTAGTGCTAGTGCTAACAGTGCTAATATCTAATGCTCTGCACTACTCTGCCTCTGCTTCTCTTCATCTGCTTCTCTTTATTTCAGTACTCCCCCTCAAGCAGGAGGGTGAAAGACATCGAGCACTCCTATCTTGGATAGAAGAAGATGGTGTTGACTAACTCCCAAACCTTTTGTAAGAAGATCTGCAAGTTGAGACTGTGTGGCAATGTAGTTGGTCTCAATAAGCCTTCCTTTACCTTTTCCCGAACAAAGTGACAATCAATATCTATATGTTTAGTACGCTTATGAAAAGTGGGATTTGCAGCAATCTGGATGGCTGCTTTGCTATCACAGTGAAGTTGAATTGGTTTAGAAACAACCACACCTAAGTCTTGCAGTAACCCAACTAACCAGACAATCTCTGCCACACTTGCTGGCCTACTCCGATATTCAGCTTCAGCTGAACTTCTACTGACTGTGTGTTGCTTCTTTGTCTTCCATGAGACTAGAGAATCACCTAGCTTAATCATATGCCCTGTGACTGATCGTCTATTAATGGGGCATGCTGCCCAATCAGAGTCGCAATAGGCAGTCAATTGAGTGGCTGGCTTATGGCTGAGAAAAATTCCCAAACCAGGGCTGCTTTTAATATATCTCACCACCCTTAAGGCTGCTTCCTAGTGTGATTTCTTGGGCTGCTGCATGAATTGGATAAGGACCTGAACAGGGAAGCAAATGTCTGGGCGTGTGATAGTTAGATAAATCAGTTTACCCACCAATTTTTGATAACCTGACACTTCTTCAAGTATAGGGTCATCAGTTGCTCCAGTCAATCTATCAAATTCAACAATCGTGAGTCTTGTGCTTGCTTCAATCGGTGTGGAAGCTGGTTTTGCACCACTAAGCCCCACATCTGAGATCAGTTCTAAAGCATACTTTCTCTGATTGAGAAGTATGCCCTGTTTTGACCTCAACACTTCAATCCCTAGGCAATATTTGAGTTCTCCAAGATCCTTGACTTTGAAATTGCTATGTAGAGTTTGTTTTGCTTCTTCAATGAGGTGTTTGTTGTTCCCAATAATAAGAAGATCATCAACATAGATTAAAATGATCACTATATTGTCTCCTTTCCTTCTAGTGAATAATGAATGATCATGGGGGCTTTGACAGTATCCTGCTTCCACCAAAACAGATGTGAGCTTGATATTCCATTGCTTCGACGCTTGTTTGAGACCATACAAGGATTTCAAGAGCTTACATACCCTATACTCCCCCTGCCTGTGAAAGCCTTGTGGCAAATCCATATAGACCTCTTCATATAAATCCCCTTGAAGAAAGGCATTATTGACATCCATTTGGTACAAGCACCAATTCTTCGAGGCTGCCACACTGATGATTGTTCGAACTGTGACCATTTTTGCAACGGGAGAGAAGGTTTCATGATAGTCTAGACCCTCTCTTTGTGTATATCCCTTTGCTACTAGTCGTGCCTTGTACTTGTCAATCGCACCATTGGCTTTGTATTTAATCTTATAGATCCACTTTGAACCTATAGTTTGCTTTCCCTTAGGCAATGGAACTAAATCCTAAGTTTTGTTCCCTTCCAGTGCATCAATTTCCTGTTGCATAGCCAAAATCCAATTGTGATCTTGAGAAGCTTCTTTGGATGACTTAGGCTCAGTTGATACAGAGAAAGATCCCAGGTAAGCTTGATAGTTGGGATGAAGATGAGTGTAGTTGACATGCTTGGATATAGGATAGCAGCAGTGGGCCTTTGATTTCCCAGCAGTAATGTAATCACCGAGCCAAATTGGTGGTCTAATTGTTCTGCTTGGCCTGCCATGAGCAGTCCCACCTTCTTCATGTTGTTGGACTGCTTCAGGTTCTAATTCCACTGGTTGTAGTTCAGCTTGATCTGATTCAGGAGGTGTGGGGATTTCAAGGTCTTGCTGGTGATCCATCCCAGCATCTGTGTCCAATGCTTCTTCAGGTACTGTTGAAATGTCCATTACAGGAACAGTGTCTGCAGGTTCAAGTGGTGGAGTTGTGTCTGCATGTTCAAGTTGGGATTCTGCACTATGTTGATATTGATCGTGAGCCTCTCCTGTGTGTGGCTGAATGATACCTGCATCTGTAGTGTTTTTAAACAAGAAAAAGTCACTTAAATCTTCTGCAGCTTCAGTTTTAAAAGGAAATATATATTCCTTGAACTGAACATCCCTGCTAATGAATTTGATGATCTTCAAGGTCATACAACTTGTAACCTTTTTGTGTTTCTGAATAGCCCACAAAGACTATCTTCCTGGCCCTTTATGTGAACTTATCACCTCTAGGCAACCTGCTAGCATAGCAAAGACATCCAAAAACTTTTAGTTGAGACAGTTGAGGCAGCTTGCCATGCAGCAGCTCAAATGGTGTTTTTCCTTGCAGTACTTTAGATGGAAGTTGATTGATCAGATATACAGCAGTCCGCACACAATCCCCCAAAACTTTATAGGTATTGAACTCTGAAATGCCAAAGCTCTAGCCACCTCTAGTATGTGTCTGTGCTTTCTCTCCATAACTCCATTTTGTTGTGGAGTGTATGGACAGCTGCTTTGATGAATTATACCATAAGAAGACAAAAGTTCATCACACTTTGAGTTAAAGAACTCACTACCGTTATCTGATCTAAGGATCTTAACAGTTTTATCAAATTGATTCTTTATTAAGGCAAGGAAGTTCTTCAACACTACAATCACTTCACATTTAGATTGGATCAGGCAAACCCAAGTATATCTACTGTAATCATCTACTATGGTAACAAAATAATATCTTTTATCATATGTAGGTTTTCTGTAAGGACCCCACACATCTAGATGCAACAACTGAAAAACACAGTTTGAACTACTGTCACTAACAGGAAACTTTAGTCTGCTTTGCTTTGCCAAAGGGCGAACTTCACAGCAGCTTAATTGTTCAATATCTAGTTTATTTTTGACATCTGCAATATGTTGCATTGCTCCAATAGAGGGATGTCCAAGTCTCCAATGCCATAGCTTTCCACAATCATCATCCTTATACACTGATGCTCCAATTGTAGGTTTTATTCTTTCTTGCAGTATGTACAATCCTTCCTTTTCTTTACCAATCCCCATAACCTTCCCATTGAAGAGCCCCTGGAACACACAAAAATCAGGAAAGAACAAAGCCACACAACAAAGTTGTTTGGTTATCTTGGACACTGAAAGCAGATTAAACTTAAAATCTGGCACATGAAGTACATTCTCAAGCTTGTAGCTTCTCAAAATCACTGCATCTCCTATATTTGTGATTTCTACTCTACCACCTGTGGGAACCTGCACTCTACTGTTATTTTTGATTTCTTAAGGTTCTAAAGGTGGTCAGTAACTCCTTGTATGGTGTAATGTGGTGAGATGCCCCTGTATCTATTATCCATTCACAAGCAAAGTTGTTGGATAGCAGTGAGGTCATACCTGCCATGTTACCTGTTATGTTATCTGCATTATCACTAGATGTTGGTTTGTTCACATATTCAGTATCTGCTTGTATTGTTGTTCAGTGAAGAAGTGACCTTGTGCTTCTGATGACTTAATGCTTTCTCCTGCTACTGTGGAATTGGCATAAGGTCTGAATCCACTGGTTTGTGATCCTTTCTTTTTGCTCTTAAAATCCTGTGGGTAACCAACAATTTTGTAACAGTTTTCCTTCAAATGTCCTTTATAACCACAATGCTCACAGATTATACCAACTCCAGGCTTCTTAGGCTTAAGACCTTGGTAAGTTCTCCCTGCCAGCATTGTCAATGGCTCCTTGTTAACATCCACCACACCTAACAACCTTTGGCTCTCCTCCTGAGAAACAGTTGCATAGGCTCCATTTACAGATACTATAGGCCTTCTTGCTAGTAGATTACTTCTTAGATTACTGTAGGATTCATTAAGTCCCATAAGGAACTGCAGCAATCTCTGTGATCTCAAATGGACTACATAAGGCAGGGATTCTTCACAATCACAAGAAGGAAGTGGAGCTAAGACATCTAACTCATCCCAACAATCCTTCATTTTAGAGTAATCTGAAGTAACAGACTCAGTTCCTTGCCTCAAAGTGGCAATTTCAGTCCACAAATGAAATATCCTAGTCAAATTCGATCTATCAAATCTCTCTTCAAATTCACTCCATACCTTCTTAGCATTAGACGCATACACAATACTGGCCATCAATTCCTCTGCAACAGTGCTTCCTATCCATGACAGAACAATAGTGTTGCACTTCTCCCATTGCTCCGCTAATTCACCCTTGTACATGCTTTTAACACAGGTTCCGTCCACAAAACCTAGTTTTCCTTTGCCTCGAAGAGCTAATTTCATTGCTCTACTCCACAAAGCGTAATTGATTGGTCCTGTGAGCTTCAACTGTATTAGGATAAGTCCAGGCGAATCTCCAGGTTGAAGATACAGCGGATGATTGTGATCTAGTGAAGTAACCTCATTTCCTGCCATTTTTGCTGAAAATCGAGCTTCGCGATCCTCTGCAATCGGCTAGAAAATTATACAAATTATGCTTTGTGTTCTTCTGTAGATCTCGATCTCTTTCAGTGCATGTGTTGTCCTCAATTTACCCGCTCTGATACCATATGAAATTGAGCCATGCAATCATAGTGATTAGGCTTTTCTTAGAGAGAAAGAAATCGAGTGGAGGAAGAAGAAGGAACTGTATTATTGTTGTTGCAAATGAAGCTGATACACAACTTATATACAGACCTCTCTCAGCTCACACACGTGCACATCACATGACTATTAACTAACTTTAAAATTGATTTGTAACTACTAACTATGCCAGCTAATCATAGTTAGTGCTAGTGCTAACATCTAATGCTCTGCACTACTCTGCTTCTGCTTCTCTTTATTTCATTACTGCTTACATTTTCATACATTACATACATTTTCATAAGAACGATTGGAATTAGCTACGAACTTCGTCGCTAATATATCGCTAAATCGCTCCTAGCAAACAGAATTTTTTGATAAACTATCGCTAATCCGTCGCTAAATAGAATTAGCGAAGAATTTATTTGTTTAGTTATAGAACTTATCTGTCGCTAATTCCTTTTCTTTTTGTAGTGCTGGCTCACCGCTTACATTTTCATACATTACACATATCTTTAATTTAGGATCATAAGATTCAAAAGTCATTCTTATTTTTCTTATATTTTGTGCCTAATCAAATTAAGACACATAAAATGAAACAGATGGAGTATTTAATTATGAGTACCATGCATTACGAGCCCTTTAACCAAGAGAATTTGACTAGGGAAATTGTTGTCTTAGGAAATATCTTTAATTGCAGAACTACATAGTAAACAAAAGATGCATCTTATTCACCCATATATTTTATTTTTATTTTAACAAATTAAATCTTATTCTGCACTCAAGAATAATATTTTATATTTTCTTAAATGTGACCACATTAATTTGATGATTTTACTCAGCAGAGATATCGACACAATAAGGAATTCCTCTCCATTCACATTGTCCAGAGGGACATCCTTCGTTTGCGCAATTTAACGCACAATCAGCCGGCTCATAGCATTGCCCATGAAATGTTGAACTAAATTTCTTGCAAATACCATTCTCCACTGCTTCAATATCTGTACCCACAAAAAAAATAAAAAAAATATATTACTAGTACTTTAACTTTTGTAGGAAGAAATAAATAATAATTCTTCACTTTGTCTAATAGCTTAAATTTCAGATGAGATTTATGATAACATAAATCAACATACCACTAGAGAAAATTCTGGTTAAAGACTCTCTCTATTACTTTGAGAAGAGAATCGTTGGTTTGACCGGCAAACTATGTGGGAAAATACACCTTCTTTCTTTATTTGAAGAAAGAAAGTAATAATTTCATTCAGTTCGTTGTCGAAAAACTTGCTGGTTGCAGATTAGTTTGTTCTGCGCCACAAGATAGATGGCTAGAAACTTCCTATTAGGAATAGCTTTTTAGGTTGTGTTGTCACGTACCAGAATGTTCTAACAGAGCAGGGGAGACAAATAACTAATCTAATATAATGCAGCTATGGTCGGGAAATAGAGCAAATTGATCATACTTAATGTTAAGATATGGTTGTGGTTCTTTTCTGCCCCGTTCCGTCAATAAAAGAAGAATCCATGCCCTCTCAATTTTAAGATGTTTGGTCCACATATATAAACAAGATTAAAGCCCGTGAGACATGTTGTAAAATTCACAAAATAATGAATAAATGTGTACAATCTCTAACAAATTAAGCTTTTAGATGAGATAGTTATATGATTTAACAGTTATCCTTTAAGTGAAGGGATCAAATTTTATTTGAAAACAAAATAGTTTCTTCAATATTCATTTTGAAACTTACCATGTGACGCAATGAGGAGTATGCTGAAAAGTATTACAAGAAACCTCTCCTTATATCAAATAGCAATGAAGTTATATGAGAATTGAATTGAATAACAACTATTTATAGAATAATGTACGTACTTAATAATCAATTTAATGTTAGAATTAGTTTATTCAAGAAGCAACATTCTTGATATCTTCAAAATCACCACCAAAAATATCGTGAACAAATCTCTTGTGCTGTTTTCATCCTTGTTATATATATAGAGGAGGATGCCAACACTTAATTACAAAAAAAATTTCCTTAATTTTATTTCTCTAGTTATTTTTTAAAAATTATTTATATTAATTTAAATAATATATTTAAAGATAAAAAATTTATATGGATTTTTATTTAATAAAAATATTGTTTTTCCGAGTTAACCATCTGATTTTAAACTTATTATGTTGGAATTAAACATCAGCGAAAAAGATATAAAAAGGTTTCCAATATTTCATTAGCTTGCTTCTTTTTTTGTTTTTTGTGTTTGTTTTTTCCTTATATTCTAATTTTAAATTTACAATAAATTTTTTTTAGCAAAATAATAAGTAGGCTTGTTGGTAACACAAAAAAATTCATAGGCAACACATATTGATAATTTCTTAATGAGTTAAATGTAAGAGAAAAAAAAAGACCCTAATTTATTTAAACCTCATCAACTTGTGAATAGCTAAAGAATTTGCACTTTTTCCGTTGATAATTCATTTGCTAATATTTTTAAATAAGATGAGATGTCCTCTTCTAGCATAAGGAAAATCACGTGTTACATTAAAAGTGGACCTGAAAATATAGAAACAAATACTTCTAAAAGAATACCAGCTCTACTCTTTCTTTTTAGAGACTTTTCTTATTAAGTGCTTGAATTAAAGACAATTATTTGTGCAATTGCACCTTAAAATATTTACTTGACCTTCAAAATAATCATGAAGATAGTAAAGTTATTATAGTTTGAATAGTAATATCGTGAGTTTTAAAATGAACCCATGTTATTTTCTAATCAGATTACTCTTTTCTTATATAATATATATTCCAAAAACATAAATTTACTACTAATATTCTATTTTCATTTTCATTTTCCTTTTTCACATGAAATATCGTCATTGGATTTTCTTTTTTTCTTTTTCCTCATACTGCAGTACTATGCTATTTTACAAATTTTAGTATATGTCGCCAAAAGGAAAATTATGTGCACATGTTGGCGGTCCACATGATAATTTTTGACTTAGCATCACATGCAAAGCAAAAAGTGATGGATGACATTTTGTACACTTTTAAGGGCCTGCAAAGTCGCGTTAATTACCAAAATGTATAATGGCAACTCAAGTAATAACGGACCATATCAGGGTAAAATTTTGAGTGAACAGCCGTCCTTTTTCAGCTACAGAAGCAAGAAGCACTAATATTTCCAAAGTACCCCTTCTGATCCAAAATATAACCGGATATACCTCAATTTGTATTAGGACAACTAAAAGAATAAACTAAAATGATTCGGTTTTTTTGTCAATTCACTTTGACCGGAAGCTCCTCTCGATTCTCTCTTATTAATAGTAGTAATAATTTGTAATTTTCTGTGTCATAGTAATTGGATATTGATTCCTCTAATATAATATACAAGAAGCCAAGTATATTTTCTTTTTATAAATATAAGAGATGAACTGAATTACTTGGACTTTTCTGTATGTTGGAATTGATACTTATAATAAGTGAAAGATTTATGGAAAACTAAGTAACATATATACTTTGGATTATGTCTTAAAATTGTCAAGTTTCAAGGATATATTCCTGTAGCGGGTTTTGTAGTTATTCTAAGTACCATTAGTATACAAATATCAAAAAGAGATAAGTTTTGCATTACTGAAATAGATTGGTCAATTAAAAAACAATAGCAGTATAACTAAACAGTGCATCGTTAGAAGTTAAATAACATGTTTTATGAGAGATTTTCACTAGCCAAAGCCGACCGCATCCGATCGAAGTCGTCGATTTTTCAAAATATTTTATTTTTAAATTCTTTTACAAAATTGACCAACTTCTGTTGGTTTTTTTCTGGCGCAAAAATACGGGA